ACAACACAAATGCTACGGCAAGGAGGAGTCAGGACGCCAGGTCAGGGGGGAGATATCATCACCCCCACCCGAGATTGGGTACATAGCCCCAAGTGCGATAGGAGAAGGATCGTTGAGTGCGAGAGGAACTGACCTGAAAAATAGGATCATGGCCAAGCTTGAAACCTGGATCCCCCGTAGCCGGTTACCAAGATTACGTGAAGTACTCTCAGAAGGTCTGCTAGATGATGTTAATGCAGCACTACGGACGCAACCCATAACGGCAATGCTCAGTGGCTAGTGGATCTGAGGGCAGACCACAGCGACCTCCCTGAACAGGGTCCAGTAACCATCACAGTGGCAGATATCCAAGAAAGGGTCTCCAGTATGAAGAGTTGGACAGCAACTGTATATATATATATATATATGTATATATAATTTTTTCATTTTTCTTTCTTTCTTTCTTTAGCCTTTTAACTGGAAGATAACTACTGTAGCTAGATGCATGTAACAGTATTAGATATATTCAAGGAAAGTACAGATACCTCACATTTTTACCAGTGTAATGTACTTGAGCAAATTCACTCTGTTATATTCCATCACTGCTAACAGCTTACTGCTCATATGTCTGTGAACAGTCCTTTAAAGATGAACCAGTATAATCAGCCATGAGCGTTTCGTAGAACAGACAAACTTTCATCTGATTCAGGTTGCCCTCTTTGGGTTTTTGAGGGTGAAGTAATATCTAGATTCCCACCATGTTACCCTCTTTATATTCAGATGTTTACTGCTTTTGCAGGAGAAAATCTATTTTTCTAAACATTTGTGATGTGCATATGATTTTGATCTACATATATGTAAATCAGGGTGATTGTGGCCTAGAACAAGGCAGTATTCTTTCAAAGCGTTTGATTTTGAGAGTAGAGTACTGCCTTATCTTTGATGATCTGATATATCTAGTCTCGGTTGGATATAATCCTTGGCGACTCCCTGGACAGGCTGATGTAGCAAGTGGTCCTCTCTCTGCAAGAACATCTCAACGCATCTAATATATCTATGCATAGCCAGATCTGGCTATCAATGTTTATTTTTGACCAGTGATGTCTTGTTCGCAGCTTCATCCACAGGGCTGATGAATAAACTCTTAAGTCTCTGGTATGTGCACGACGTTGCCCTCCCTCAGAGTGTAAACAATGTGCAGACAGATTAGTTCTGCTGCTGTGGGTGAAGCAGATTAGCAGAGATTATTAACAAACATGTTGAATTAAACAGACAGTATCACTTATTTCTTTGCAAACATCCCAGCTGTGTGGTTAAGGGTGCAAGTGCTTAAACCAGCATGGTAAAAACACCATGTCTCCCCACGGGAGCAGTCATCACCTTGATTGGACACAGAGCTGCCTGGATTCAATCTTCTTGGTCCCAATTACGGTCAGATTTACTGACATCAGTCACAGTTCATCACAGTGATTATGCTCAAGCTGTTCAGTGAGGAGATGATACAGAGCTTATGGGAACCACCACTAATTGGTGGTCTTCACTCTCTCACTTTCTGTCTACTCATATCTATTCCACTGGGATACATACAGATTTGTCACATCTACACTGCATAATCCTTTTGGGTTACAACAATTTTATAATAATGTATTCGAGTTTTCCTTTATGTACTCTCCCAACTGTCTGAAAGCCTCCACTATCATTCTCATCCCCAAAAAGACTAGTATAGACAGGCTCAATGACTACAGACCTATAGTCCTCACAGCATATAATGTTAAAGTACATGAGAGAGTGTCTATCCCCCTCCCTTGACCCCCACCAGTTTGCTTGCAGAACTAATCGGTCCACGGAGGATGCCATCACCATCACCCTTCACAGAGCGCTGAGCCATCTGGAGAACAGGAAGAGCCACGTGAGGATGCTCTTCTGGGACTACTGCTCAGTGTTTAACACCATAATACCAGACATCCTCACCACCAAACTGGACCACCGTCAGATACCCCCTGCCACCTGCTACTGGATCAAAAACTTCCTCACCAACCGACCTCAGTCAGTCCAACTCAGCCCCCCGTCACTCAGCACCAGATCTCGCTGGGCTGCATTCTCCGCCCTCCTACTGCACACCAATGCATCCAACCAACGTTATCGTCAAGTATGCCGGTGACACCGGTGATGGTGGTTGGGCTTATCTCTAATGGAGATAATACAGTGTACAGGGCAGCGGTAGAGAACTTGTCCTGCTGCTGCTCAGAAAATAACCTGAAGCTGAACGTCCTTAAAACAAAATAACTCATAACTCATTCCCCACTCATTCTAAACAGAGGACGGGTAGAATTCGTGTCTACCTTCAGGTTTCTGGGCACCCACATCTCAGCGGAGCTCATCTGGACCCACAACATCAACACCCTGGTGAAAGCCTCCTGTCTCAGAAGAACGCCTTGCACCCCACCCACCACCTGTTTGATCAGCTGTCCTCTGGTCAGCACCTCAGGTCAATCAGGTCCCACACCTCTAGACTCACAAACAGCTTCTTCCCTCTGCCATTTGGAGTGTCAATAAACACTATCCCCCCACACCACATCCCTGTCCACCCACTGCACTAATCTGAGCCATGGTCTGAGTAACCCCCATCATTCAGGTCACTCACACACAGACTCTATTCAGATCAAGTCTTGTCTTTGCACTACTTCCAAGCACTTTTCAAATTGTATGTACCTCTACAATGACAACAGGCTATTCTATTCTGTTCTATGCTATTCTATTCTACTGATACTCCACTGGTACCATCATTTTCTCCATGGTTTGGCTTCAAATTGTATTTACTCCAGTTTTTGTAGATGTACATGACTGTTAATAATATGCTCTTTCCCCTTTTAATGTCATGTTCAGAGTAGTGGAAATTATTCATGTTCAGTATTAAGAAGAAATGTGTCGCTTTGTGAAATATTGTCTTCTTTACTTAGCAGCAAGATAGAGTCATTCTTTACTTTTTAAACTTATGAACAAAAACATGACTTAAAATGACAAAAACTGGACTAAAGTTACAGAAATAATTTTGGACTTGGAGTATTAGTCAGGTAAATGAGGACAACTGAAAATGTCTCTTTGAGGTCTGGGTAATTGTGATGAAAATGTATTCCTGGTTATCTTCCATTTTACAAACCACAAAATGAATGTGCTGGTGAGAAAATAACAGACAGAGATAGAATGATAATGATCATGTTACTGATAAAAAATATAATTTCATTAAAAAAAAACAGAAAATAAATAATAACCCTTAAAAACAAACTCCTCAACAACGATCAAATTTGTAATTAATTCACGAGAAATCAAAACATATGTAAACCAGAGTATAATATATTTTTAGACGTATGGAAATTAAAGCAATTTTGTGGTCGTATTCGAGTGATCTTATTCAGCTGTCTAATGAGTGAGTCATCGCTTGCTATGGTATAATCAGCATAAGGCACCAACTGAAGAGGAGCAAATGGAAGCAAATCGAAACAAGCCTTTGTTACATGATCATGACCACTTGCTCTTGTCAAACAGAAGGACTTAGAAAGAAAACCCTGTCTCTGATGCAAGCCTGGCTCAGATATAGTGCTGTTGCTTTCTGCAGTTGAGATAAATAAATGTCCTGCCACTGAGAAAATGCAGTATATACAGTGGATACATGGATACATGCTTTTGAGACTTTTCATTTTCAATACTTCTCTACAATTAATAATCTTAGCAGTTTGGCTCATTTGTAATTCTACTGTAGAAAAAAAATCTTTAGGTCAGATTAGATTCTCATACCATTAAAACTGGATCAAAAGTCAATCAGACTTTCATTGTTGCTACTTTTGCCCAAACTGGATCTGATCAAATGATGCCTAGTTGACTGAAATTGGACTAAAATCCAAAAAGAAGTTCATTCAGCCATAACAAAGGGATTTACACTGTTTATCTGATTTTTAAGTAACATTACTTTACACTATACATTAAAGTATTGATTCACTCACATGAGCAATTTTTGTTCATCCAGAAAGGGAGTCAATATGCACCTTACAGGCACATGATGAGGATGGATCATTTAAGCATACATCTGTAATAATAGCATTGTTCATTTTTTATGGCTTGCACATGAATCTTGTATTGCATTAGTGCTTGAGGATGAATTCTAAGGGTTTAAAATCATGATGTGTGTGCAGAGAAAGGTTGACCTATGGAGAGACGGGCTGACCTGTCTTGATTGTCCATATGACAGCAATGTATATGTTCATTGCAGATTCACATTCACATATCTAAAGGTCTGACCTACAGCTTAAATGTGTTATATGCACAATACTTTTTTTTTTTTTATGTCTGTGAGGATAAGTAAAGCGTTTCATTTCCTCAGCCACACCTGCAAATCCAATCTTATTAAATGCACATTGGGTTCACCACACTTATTTAAAAGTTAATTCTCAAATATTTCCATAACTTCATACTGAATTTTTATGACTTCACTGAAGCTATGCTGCAGTGAAACAACTTTTACAGATCCCCATGACATTCAAAATGTGTTTTACTGTAGACTAGAACATAAAGAATGAATCTTCCTTTTGCCTTTTTAGAGTGAGAAGGATTTCAGGGAAGCTATTTAAGTCAGAAACTGCAGTCTTCACAACAGACACCTAAATTTTGTTTTTACTGTTGCAAATGTTGTAAACTATTCAAAATAGCTATCTTCCCATTGGGCCGGGGGTCATGACCCAGATTATGGAAAGCGATGCTGTAGAGAACTGAGCCCGAGGCATGAGGATGCCTGTTGTTTAATTGAAGTTTAATGGAAAAGATGTGTGTGGCTTCAGTTTTCATGTGATAGGGTTCAGTGCCATCTAGTGGTAATAAGTAACACAGTTTAGTAACACTAAACTGTGACTGCATGTGGGTTTGGACTTCTTTTCTTACATTATTCAGAAATAAGAGTCAGAAGATTTATTATTATTTAATTGAAGAAGAAACCAAATGAACTGCTTAAGTTTATAAAGCCATAAGGATTGCATTAGAAGGAACATAGTTAGTTCCTGGAGATTTATTAACAAATCCATGAGAGTTACATATGCCACACACTGTAATAATAATAATATACGTAATATGAGCATTTACAAAATAACAAATGTGAATCTGCAAATATGTAAAAGTCTAACTACTCTAACTAAGTCATTTAAGGTACAAAATACATTTACATACTGCATAAAAAGCCTTTGTAGTGTCATTTTGTATGCATCCACTGAAATAAAGTCATAGTCAGCAAGTTCATTCATCTGTTTCATTCATCGTTCTATCAGCCTGGTTCATTTTTAGTTGTACTGCCTCGTCAGAATTCCTTGTCTCCATTGCTTTGCTCTTTCCGCGCTCCTCATCCAGTTTTTTATAGTTGTAGTAATGCATAATGAAGAAAAATATGCCAGAAACCAGCATGAATACACCGCATGCATAATACATGTATTTGTAATCACCAAAATAATCAACCAAAGCTCCTGAAAGAGAACACACATAATCTGTTAGTAACTCCATCTTGGAAATTTCTATACTTTGCTTATGTGTATAATCAAAATCACAATTCAATGGAAAAAAAAGAGAAGAAAAAAAACACCACAAACCTGCCATTGGAGGTCCCAGAAGCACTGGCCCACACTCAATAATGGTGACAAGTCCAACAGCAGTGGAGAAACGAGGAGCTCCAACAAGGTCCATTAGAACTTCAAAAAGGAGTGCAGAAAGCATCCCAAATGCCAAACCAAAGAAGACAGCATATACAACTAGGCCCGTATAGCCAGACGCCAGTGGGCACATTAGGTGACATACGCCATTGTATGAAACAGCAAAACTGAAAAAATACTGTATTCTCGGCCTGATCCACTTGGTGTTACCAACTAAGCCAGTTGTCGGTCTAATGAACATGTCTGCCAGAGCAAAAATGGAGAGCAAGAAAGCTGCTGAATATTCATCAATCCCTTGATGTTTGGCATATGGAGCCATGAAAACCACAGGTGCAAAAAAGCCAAAAAACAAGACCACATTACCAATTAGATAAATGAGGAAGCCCCTGTGTTTGAAAAGTGAGAGATCTATGAATTTCTGCACAAAGCTGTGACCCTTGCTCTCACTTTGATCTTCAGTCTGAAGGTTATCGGAGTGGGTAGTGGTGTCTTCAGCAGCAGCGTGTTCCTCAGCTCCGCTTTCACGCTTTGATGACTCATCTATTGTTTTCCGTGGTATGCTTTTGTTGACTGGTCTCATCAAAGCACCAGCTACACAGCAGTTCAAAACAATGGATCCCAGGATGAGGAAGCTTCCCCTCCAACCAAAGGAATCAAACAGAAACTGATTGAGTGGCGCCAGAGTGGAGAGAATAACCGGACTTCCAGTCATAGCGAGTCCATTGGCCATGGGCCTTTTGACCTGGAAGTAAGTGCCTATGATCGTCAGGGAGGGCTGCAAGTTGAAGGCGAGACCAAAACCTGTTAAAAATAAGGTTAAAATTACACACAGTAATTTATGAATTATTCCCTTTAGAATATTTTGAATAAAGTGCCTAAAGTATCAGTTAAAAAAGTACTTTTAGACAGTTGAATGCACCTCTTATTATTATCTGTGACATTAGTTTTATATCGGTGATGATTTGTTTACAAAAAAAAAAAAATAACTAGTCCCATGGTTTTGGCATTTCTTTTCTGTACGTCTCTGACTGGTGCAGTGCTACTAGATTAAAGATTAGGTTTAAAGTCTGAGAGGTTTGTTTGCTCTCAGTTAGTAAAATGATCGTGTGGTTTTGCCTGCACATGTGCATGTGTGGATGTTCTAAATGCACCTGAATTAACAGGACAAAAAAGGTTTTACCCAAATCTAAACATTGCTTTGATGTTGTAAGAGGGGATTATAACTTATATTATATCATAAGGGTCATTGTACTCGCTGCACTGAACGACCAACTCTGCTTTACACAGGGACATAAACAATCCCTGTGGATTGATCCTGATAGTAAAAGACTGAATGAGAGTTACAACACAACCACTCCTTCCTTCAGTGTAGTCCAGTTACAACCAGGTATCATAAAGCAAACATTATAAAGGACAGCAACAGCTACACCAGAAAAATAACACAAAACTGAATTGAACATGTGCACTGTAAGAAAGTGAATCATTTTAAAGCAGGGGTGTCAAACTCAAATACACAGTGGGCCAAAATTCAAAACTGGAACAAAGTCGCGGGCTAACATTAATATTTATTGAAAAAAAAATCTTCCTCCAGATATAAGAATGAATCTTTTCTTATGGACTCAAATAAGTTTTGCTGGAAAACTGAATATGGAACAAGCAAAGCTTAATACTAAACAATATATATATTAGCTGTATAATACCAGTAGGCCAGCTCTAATAGTAATTTGATATGGCTTCGCGGGCCCAATGTAATTAGGCTGCGGGCCAAATTTGGCCCGCGGGCCAGAGTTTGACACCTATGTTTTAAAGGATAGTTTTTTAAATTGTTGGACTAGCCTATCTGACTGTTAACAAAAAAAGGAAACATAATTTACCTCCAATTACTCCAACACAGAGGTACAGATGTATTATATTAGTTCCAAAAGAAGCAAGAGCCATGCCAGTGCAAACCAGGACCCCACCAACTATAACCACAGGTCTGCTGCCATAGCGATTGACCAGTATACTGCTGACAGGGCCTGCACACAGGAGAGAAATATCTTACATTTTTGGCAACGTTCTGAGGGACAAATTTTGCTTGACAAATCCGGTCATGGGATATACTGCTTGGGAATGTGCCAATACTTGAAGTATGACGGCCACTAACCTCCTGCATACATAGAAGCAAGCATGACTGAGGACACCCAGGCAATCTCACTGTAGGAAACTGAAAAATATTCCTGAATCTCCTTGAAATAGATGGTGAGGGACTTAGGAAAGGCATACGAGAATCCTATGGAGATGAAAGCGCCGAAGACGACAGCCCAGCCCCAGCCTCCGTCTGGTGGGGTGTAGCCTAGATTGGTTGCTGCTGCGGGGGGCATGTTCAATTCTCCGGCTAGAAAGTGGGAACAGCAAAAATAAGTGAACAGAAAATAAACAAGTGCAACTTTTCAAAGAAAGAGTTAGATTCACATATTTTGCATCCATTATAAGTTTCACAAGACCTCACCTCGGCCCAGTCCTTGAAATTGTATCGCAAAGTCTATGAACTCAGTCCATGTGACACAGTCTTGCACTGGGACAGAGTTCACTCTGCTGTAAGCTCTTTGATCTCATCACGTGTGCTGTCATGCAAAATATGAGTGGCCATACAAAATAGAGCAATCGCCAAGCACTAGATATTGATGACAATAAATGCTTGTAGGAAGTGTAATTCAACTGCTAAAATATGTTTCTTTTAACATAAGACCCTTTCATAGACATACATTGGTTTTACTGCCGAGGCCCTTTGAACTCATGTAAGCAGTGTTTGTCTACTCCTATGTGTTTGTGCACTGCAGGTGGGTTGGTCAAAATGACATGCTCTTTTGGGAAACCTTTAAAGCTGGGATTTATGTTTTGATGTCATGCCCCCAATACAATGGCACCCCCCGATGGCAGGGGGTCTCCCTCAGCAGGGCTAACTGAAAAAAAAAATGCTTGGAACTTCGTGCCAATCTAACTAGATACCCAGAGCTGTTTTTTCAGTACATGTGGGAGGGACTTATACAATATTAGGAAGGCTTTCTTAATTTTATGTGGTTTGTCTGCACGCTTTGATTAAGTAAAAAATAATTAACTGAAAAACTGTGTTTTGTACATGTTGTGAAAAACAGAGTGCTGGCTACAAATTCAATGTCAGCAGTGTTGGGCCATGTGGTTGCTGAATGTGAATGCTGGAAATAATTGGTCTCTATTTTATTTTCTTAAAATTATGAGTTGTTTAAATTGATGTAGTCACTGGATATTCTTTCAGCTTAGCACAAAATCCCTAGTTTTTATGCTTCAGCTCTATTGAAGAAAAAAATCTGAAAAATGCTTTGTGAGAAATTACAGGAGAAAATAAACACTCATAAGTTTGCATTATAGATGTTTATGGATCTTAAAATATAGGGCTATGAAACACAGTACTGTATTTTTCCCCCTAAAATTTTATTATATGTACTTAAGGCTTGTTATGGAATAATTTTTGGCCCTACTGCAGATCTCACAATATTTTACATCCACAGACAAATTAGATCTGTACAGAAAAAAATACAGCTCTGTTCAAATGTGTATTTGCTTCTAATAACTAATCTCACAACCTTGGTATTCTATTCAAATTTCCAGCTTTCAGTATCGAAATTAGCAAATTAATCCGGTATTGGTGTATCTTTTAGAGGTGCTGTGAAATCTGTTTTTTTCTTTCATGAGTTATTTAAAGATGTCTAGACGCTGAGCGATAATGTGCTCCAATTCAACCTCCTCATTAATCAGCTATTGAGACTGCAAACCACATGTTTTGAAAGAAATACAACAAACACTACATAAAATTCAACTGAGAGGATAATAATTACAATTTATGGATTAGAATTTAAGGAAATTAAACAGCTGACATATCCTCACTAGCCACTTCATTAGGTACGCCTGAGTTGGGCCACTTTTTTCTTTCCGAACTGCGTGCATAGATCATTCAAAGGTGCTGGAAACATTCCTCTGAGATTTTAGTGTATAAAAGTATGTTAGCATCACACAGTTGCAGCAGATATGATGTTGCACAAACATGATGTGAATCTCCGGTTCTACCGCATCCCAAATATGCTCTGTTGGCTTAAGATCTGGAAAGTGTGCCAGAGAAACCAGTCTGCTCAGTTGGTACTAAAGGTCTCAAAGTGTGTCAAGTTTGGTAAAGATGTTCAAACTGTAGCATCCCTTTCCTGTCCTTATCTTTCACAGCCGGCACCAGGTGTGGTCATCTGCAGCTCTAACCCATCTGCTTCAATCTTTAACTTGTTGAGCATTTAGACATGCTCTTCTCCATGCCTTGGTTGTAATCAGTGGTTATTTGAAATGCTTCATTTTGGCTCAAAGCACCTCTGGCATCAACTTCATCAATCAAGTTTCCACTCGGAAAACTGGTGGTCACTGGATATTTCTCTTTTTTTTTTTTTTTACCATTCTCTTTATAGTTGTGTGATCCAAGCAGTTTCAGACCAGCCATCTGGATACCTGCAAAGTCACTAAAATCTCCTTTTTCCCAGTTCTAAAGCCCGTTCAGTTGGCTAATTAGATGTGTGTAAAAATAAAATAAAAAATCAAACTGAAAACTAAACGTACAAAAACATGGAATGTGGAAATGTAAATAAATACTCAGCATTTCTGTTTGTAGACGTAAGTCAGGGAACTTCTCGCACTCCAGTCCACTAGATGGCGATAATAAAACAAAGCCTAGATTGCCTCAAAGGGGGAAGAAGAAGTTATTCAAGAGTTATTCAAACGCTTGTATAATCTGGTTGTTAGTTGGGGAAAAGTCAGGTTGATTCCAGTGCAAGTTAGAGCTGTGTAGCCATTTGTAGCTTCAGATGTTTTCAAAAGTGAGAACATGTTTGACTTCGGGTTTAGCCAGATTGCCCAGTTGTGTAAATTCAAGAGTAACATCTGTGCCCTGCAAACATCAGCATCGCACCTTCAGTTCTGAGTCTGAGGGTGAGTTGCTCCCACTGTCTCTCTGTTTCTGCTAAACTTGTCTTTAAAATTTTAGTTAGCGGTCTGTAAAACGGGTAAACCGTTTTTAGGATAATATACTGGTTAATATGTAAACCCTGTAAAGTAAATGATTCCGCGTTACTGGTTGAAATGTCTCCAGTTTGGCAGTATAATATAAAATGATTTAAAACCACGCTTACGATTTCATAACGCTTATTTTACATGTGTAAGACTAATTTTTGACCTTGTCCTCACCTCACTGTGTGGTAGTATCTGTGCCAGCTGAGCAAAATGAAAGTTGCACTTTGAACGTTGTTAACTTAAGACAACGCTGTGGCAATACGCAACTCAATTTTTAGTTGATGGACGTTTTCCTGGGCCAAATTCAAATCATTCAGGATCTTTGATGTAATGACTATTAATGAGGTAATCTCATCAAGGTTAACATGTCTTTTTGAAAAAAGATTATGATTTCTCATGTCAGTCACATGTGTTCAGTGTGAACCTGCATTTATTTGTGAAGAGAATGGGGTCCAGCGGTGGACCTGCTAGTCCTGCTTTTCTTTGGTAAACTCAGTTGAGCTGCAAGGTCAGGCCCTCATGTCATGCACGTGGAGTCTGGTTCTTCTTACAGTTTAATCAAAAGCTGGCACAAGTAGGTTATTCTCAAGGGCTCTGTTCCTCCTCAAACAAAGGCGCAGTTATCTTTCCTGCTGCTGCGTTGATGCCCTTATGCAACCCTGTCCAGCTCTTCTTGTGTAACAGCCCGTCTCCTATATGTCCTCCACTCTCCTGTGCTGAGACCGAGACTGTAAACCATCTTGTGATGGCATATATGGAACTACCTGTGCAACCTGAATGGGCTGCAAGTACCATCTAACGCTACCAGTAGAGACAAGGAAACTAGCAAAAAGGAAAGAGAAATATCAGTCAGGAGCGATATGGGGAGAGCAACAGTCTCACCATTTTGCTGCTTCTCCAATGCAACTGTTGTACTTTCATTTGCACCAAAGCAGGTTAAATGAATCCACAAGGGTTTATGCCTCCCAACAGGATTGATATCCTTCAAGTTTAACTGAATTTTGGAAAATTAGGGATAAAATATCAGACAATTCCTGATGTAAATGTCTGTTCTCCACTCTTTTCCAGGTTCTGTATGATGGGCTTTGTCCAATATGTGTGACTGAGATCCGTTTGCTCCAGTTTCTGCAGAGAAACCGGCCTGAGAAAGTACATTTCATTGATATCTCTCTGCCAGGTTATGATGGAACAAAATACAAGGCTATCACCTATGAGATGGCCATGAAGGAAATGCACGTGATTGATAAGAAAGACAAGGTGATTATTTAACCAAGATTTTAATGAACCTCACAATATGCAGTTTAACCTAAGTGTTGTATTATGCACCTTCATGCTGTGTGTTACCAGGTTCACAGCGGAGTCCCAGCGTTTGCAGTCATGTATAGCGCCGTAGGCCTCGGTTGGTTGGGTCGCTTTATGATGTGGTCACCTGTGAGACCATTGATGGACAAATCCTATGACATCTTTGCCAGGAACCGCTTAAAGTGGACCGGACGTGGAGAGGAGTGCACCACAGGACGCTGTGAAAAGAAAATACCCTGACGCTCCAGCACTGTTTTATAAGTACTGTAAATATATGGAGAACTGCATAAATATCATGCTGATAATCCTGTAAAAAATGGTTATGTTGGTTATGTAGTTCACCTAAAGTAATTTAAAATAACAACAATGATGCAGAGATAAAATTACAACTGTAAAATAGAGCTGAAGATGAATGTATTCAAAGAAATATTTCTGGATGTACAGGTTTCATTAAATACAGTTTGAAAATCTGTTTTTGACTGATAACAGCATTTTGTCATGATTTTTATTCTTCCTCTGGTGTGTATTCGTATCAGCAGATTGGTCCAATCTTACTTCTAACAAAATCACTGGGGAGGTGGCAGTCAGACCCAAGATAGTGGCTATGGAAACAGATTTTTAAAAAAGAAAAAAGCTTTGCTGTACATGGAAAGAATCATTCTTGACAGAAAGGATTGTGTGTTCTGTAAAGGACTGTCATGTATTCATCATATACACGGTGCAGAGATAAGACTCAAAGTCACTGAAGCGGAATATGATCAATTTCCTGTCATGCACAGCGGTTCATTCAAAGCCGATTAAGAACCAAACTGTCAAGAATCTGCCACTAGATGTCATTGTAAGTCTGCGAGAGTGAAATCGTTCTTTAGAAATTGTGCTGAATTTTAGCAAACTGATCAGATCATAGCCAGAAGAACAAATACGAGCAGAAATGTCAAATTTAGTGGATTTGTTTAACAAAAAAAAATCAAAACTACTGAAGCTCTCTGATTATTTATGTCTTTTTTGTGACTATTGTTTTGAAAGTAACGTCAGTGTCTGTGTGCTGGAGAGAAACACGTGAGCCCCTCCTCTTATGTTTCGCCAAAAATAAACAGCTGTGTAGAACAGCATGTGCTGGTCAAAGATTACATGAGATCCTGCAATAGGACAAAAGTGTTTATAAAACACTGTTGGTTACAGCGTAAATGTCAAATGGAATTTACTTGTCTGGCACTTTTTTCTTCTTACTTAATCAATTTGAGCATTCGAAGTGTTTTCTTGCTACAAGCTTCATTCACCCATTCAAACATGCCTAAGCAATTTGCATAAAATTCACAAACACACTCGTGCTCCACTGGGGGGCAATTTGGGGTTCAGTATTTTGCCCAAGGATACTTACACGGATACTTACAGACCTGGGAGACGATACTCCGGACATACGCGCCAGGGATCGAACGCTCTAGGTAGGGGACTTGCTTCTGCCTCCTTGGGCACAGCTGCAAAGAAGGAACATGACACAAGGTCACATAAGCACATATTTAATTGTTTTTGCTGAATAACATTGGCCCATTTAAACCATACATCCAGGCTCTAATTTAAAACATGAGCACACTTCGTAATATCCATTTACAACTGCAGACTTCCAGTTGTTTGCATCACATGTACCTTCCAGCTTGGGCACAGCTTCTAAGAATTGGAGTGCTGTTTGCGGTGATGAGTCACAGCTCTGTCTGTTTGGTGTGTGTGATGTGTGGTGATGTTTAAAGCACCCAACATGAGTTCACTGAGACCTTAAGCTGTCACCCCATCCCTAATTTTAGACTTGTGCTTGTCAGCAGTGACAACACATGACCTTAAGCCTGTGTGTCTTATTGAACACTGGCCAAGCCAGTTCGCACCCCCCATACACACCCCCAGCCCAGCCCAGCAAATGAGATTAAAGTCCTGCGTGTAGGAAGGATTGAATCAAGTGTCAAAACACAGCAGAAAAAAAAAGCGACTCTGACAGTCTGTCAAAACTGCTGTTCTGGATTTTAGAGAGCAGGCATCTGCACGAAGAGGAATTGTGAAGACAGGAAAACTTGGTGTTATGTTTCAGGTAAATCTTTAGTGTGTACGCTTTCAACACCTATTCTGTCAAGGTTACATTTTCTGTCATTCGTGACCTCTCCTTGCTTAAGTGGAAGACTTTAACCTATGTCGATGTTTGATTATTGCATACCCGAGCTGTCTGCCTTTTAGTTTGTATAGCCACCTTAGTGCATGCACTTCATTTTACATGGTATTAACCATTCCACCATTATTGATAAGGATAAGAGATTAACTACAGGCAAAGCCGTGTGTGTGTGTTGTCAAAATGGAAATATGGAAGTACAGATACACCATAGAGAGTTATTTATAGGCCACGCTTTTTTCTGGAGGTTTCATGTTACATTCTTGTGGAGACAGCATAAGGAAAGAAAGGCACCAGGCTATTGTAAAACATGATGCCTGTAGTTTGATCAGTCAGAGTTGTGTATAGTTGTTTATGTGCATGTCATCAGCGCAGACAAGCTTTGGAAACATGAATGCAATAATTTTATAATTTTATGTAATATCCCTAGTATTAATATTTCATCTTTGACTCACAACTTTCCCATAATTAGATTTACAAGTAAAAATGATGAAACTATCATGAGCTGCACTTCTTTTTGTTATAATTAGCAAAGTTTCTGATCATGTATGACTACTAAAGCTCAACATGTCAATATCATGTGTCATGTAAGCATTTTGTTTAACACACTCCTGCAGCCACAGAGCGTCATTATTGTGTAGCGCTGACTTAGTTGTTGTTCAAATGTTTTGTTGACTTTTCCAGATTCCTGCTGAATATGCCACTGCAACCTGACTCAGTGCTGAGTGATATTTAGGCTTTGACTGAGTGCCGCTCATCAAGACAACATGGGTCGTTACCTGAGCACAAAATTGTGTTCATGTTGTGTGAACAGGACATTGAAATTGTACAGCAAATATAAATACACAATGAACCTTCTCAGAAAGGACCATGGTCTGACTAAAGCACCACTCTGCCTTGACCTACATAGATATTTACAGCTGTCACCTCCTCAACCTTCCAGGTTTGCAACAAAAGCCACTTTTAAAAAAGTAAAGCACAGCGATACAAGCCCTACCTTTTATAGCCTCCTTAGAGACCTTACAGAAAAGGCAAGACATCCTCAGGCTCTGCGTTTTTATTCATCTTCTAATAAGGATGTCTTCAAAGCCAAAGCTCCAGTTGGGATTTTTGACGAGGCTCAGAACAATTCTCTTTTAAGTTCGGTTGGAGGGTGTCTTGGTCAATCATTTAATCAATTGTCCAGACACATTAACATTTATTTCAAAAGAAAAGAAGTTTTAAGTCTGTCTGAAAATGCCAGTGTTGTCATGTCTACTCCAGAGTATGCTTGCAGGTCACAGAGGATTAGTCAAAGTCAGCAAGCAGCCACAGAGGAAAATATACCTGAAAGCAAAGACACAACACAGACCTTGAAATGTAAGGACAAACAGTGGGACTCTGTAACAAGTCATTCAACTCAAGAAACATCTGGACTGCAGTTATTTCACATCAGCTCTCTCACGACAAGATTTGGTGAGGGTTACAATTATGTTGCTCATCACATTAACACAGTTTTCTCTCAGGGTTTGGCAAAAGTTCAAAAGCAGGAGAATTTGGAGCCTCCTTCCAAAGAGACAAACAGAAGGGAGAAGAGACGAAAAATACAAATCAGAGGTAAACAGTCTCAAGTAAAGGCAGCACTGGAACCCGACAGTAACTCCAGTACCTGGGAGGAAGGATACCTTCACTTTGCAAGGCACATTAATAAATACTTTGGTGCCAAAGTAACAGATGAAGCTCAGAATACGAAAGAACAACCTCTCATAGAGAAGGATTGGACTTACAAGAAACACCTTTTAACACAATCCACCTCACAAACTCACAGTGCCAGTTTACAACTGAAGCAAGAAGAATCTATCACCCCAGGAGCTGCAGGCAGTTTCCACAGCAGCTGTAATACAACTAAAATCAGAGAGAACTATTTTCAAACATCCCAACACATCAATCAGTATTTCAAGGGTCAAAGTGGAGTGAATGAGGACACTGAATCCCAAAAGTCCCCCAAGAGACTGAAGAGTGTATCTTTTATGGATTACCTCTGCAACCCCACAAGTACCATTCCAGAACTGCTGGGTGTTTATCGAAAAAGCAACTCCAAAACTGCCATCTCTGCCCCGCAGGCAGTATTAAATAAAAAGGTGAGTTAAAGTAACATTTTCATTAATTCCCAGTTAATGCCCCGATGAACTAAGTAAGATAAAAATCTGCTCTCATTAGTAAGAGGCTAAAATACATAAAAATGAACTTTGATGCGATTCTGCTTGTTTGTCAGCTTGTCTTGAATAGGAAACAAGCAGATGAAATGACATGTGTGTTCGCTGATAGCCTGAGACTGGCTTCTACTCCAGAAGATCTGACTGACTGCGTAGAAGCACTCAACGAACACCTTATCCACTACCCCTCATGCAAAGCCTTAATCTGGAAGGTCTGTTGAGAATTAAACACAAATACTTATATTTAACAGTTGTTTTAATCTCATTAAATTTAAAACATGTGTTTGTTTCCAGGAGAAAATTGCAGTTTCAATGCTGAGACAACGGAAGAACTATGAACATAACCAGGAACTTCAGGCTGCCTTGAGAGAAACTTTGGCTCTTATCGGATATGCGGATCCAGTCAAAGGCCGTGGCATAAGAGTCCTCTCAATTGATGGTGGTGGAACGAGGTAAATGTAAGAAAAAATAGATCATTAAGCACTCAAAACAACTTTAACTACACATTCATGAAGCATTTTGTTTAGTACACATTAAGCACCATAACTAGCTAACATTCATGGTCAATTCAGAATTACCAGTTAACCTAGCATGTATATCTTTGGACTGTGGATCACAGGTATTCCTTGTATGTGAAGTGGTAAAGTACCTCCTTGAACTCTATCATTCAAAACCACCCTTTTCTTTGATTTGATCCATGTCGGTTAGGCTAAAATCCATCTGAATACATATAGGTGAAATCTGACCTGGTACAGCCTCTGTGCAGAAAGATTTGAAGCACCTGTACAAACTACAAATATTTTTCATTTTCGTTTCTTTTGTATTTTGGGTCACTCCAGGAAAAATCAATCAAATACATTTATTGTGTTTTTACTGCTGTTAAATGTCAAAATGGGTTTAATTTGAGCCAAACAGTATATAAAGGTTAAGCTGTGCCTGATGGTATCCACTGGTTCTGTGTATGACTATGCTAATGTGTTCATATTTCTGGGGGTTTATGTTTTCCTTTTTCTTTGCATTTTTCAGAGGTGTTGTGCCTCTTCAGATATTAAAGCTGTTGGAGGATCAAACAGGCAAAAAGATTCACCAGCTGTTTGACTACATCTGTGGAGTGAGCACAGGTGACATATAGTAAA